GGATGCTACAGCCTAAGACAGAAAATTGTCTGTGCAGTTCTACGTCTTCGTATTGGCCCCCATATATATGTACCCCCGCTATTCGATATTTTGATGATTTTACCGATATTATTCATCAGAGTTGTTTCAAATTTGGTATTTAAGCTCGTAACGGATACTACAGCCTAAGACAGAAAATTGTCTGTGCGGGTCTACTTCTTCGATAGCCCCCATATAACGGTATCTCAAGATATTGGGTTCTTTGTTTATTTTTAAGACATTATTCACCGGACCTTTTCAAATTTGGTATTTAAATTTCGTAATGGATGCTACAGCCTATGGCAGAAAATCATCGGTCTAGGTTCACGTCTTCGTGTAGCCCCCATATAACTGTACCTCCCGATATTCGGTAGTTTGTTGATGTTAGCGTCATTATTCAACGTAATTCTTTCAAATTTGCTATTTGATGTTCTTAGTGGATACTATTGCATAATTGTCTGTGCAGGTCCAATGAAGAAGGTTGATAAAATTTTACTCAAATGTGCATTATGTCTGCAGAACTTTTGGTATTGAAAATGGGCCATGTAGGTAAACGTTTGTTATATATACCCCCATATAACCCTACCTCCCGATATGCGGTATTTTGATGATTTTAGCGACATTATTTACCGGAATTGTTTCAAAATTGGCATTTATAGTTCGTAATAGATACTATAGCCTAAGACAGAAAATTGTATGTGCAGGTCCACGTCTTCGAATAGCCTCCATATCGATATTCGGTATTTTGATGATTTTAGCTACATTATTCACCGATTTTTTTTAAGTTTCGCATTTGAATATTGTATTGGCTTATGACAAAAGTTACCTATGCAGGCTCATGTCGTCGTATTGACCCTAATGTAATAGATACATTCGGTATTTTTAAGATTTTAACAGATTTTATTGTTTTTGAGAATTGCCAAATTCGTTCGAAATGGTGGAGGGTATTCAAAGTTCGGACTGACCGAACTTACAGTTTTTTACTTGTTACAATATATATTGTATTTATACCCTACACCACATAGTGGCCAGGGTATTATGTTTTTGTGCATTTGTTTGTAACAGGCAAAAGGAAACGAGATTGACCCATAGTTCCTTTTGATGATCTGCATAGAATCACATTCTGAGTCGATTTATGCATGTCCGTCCGTCCGTCTGTCCATGTATTTTTGTAAACAAAGTACAGTTCGCATTTAATGCCCTATCCAGATGAAATTTTGCACAAATCATTTGTTTGGCCCAAGGACGAACGCTATTGAAATTGAAGATAAGCAGTCAAAATTTAGATATAACTCCCATATATATCTTCGCCCGATTTGTCTTTTATTGTGCACCAAACGTCTAATATTTGCCCAAATTGGATGAAATTTGGCACTTACGACCGAATTGAGTCTAGAAGCTAGTATGTCAAATTTGGCCGCAGCCGTAATATGCACTCTGTAACAACAATATTTGGGGAAGTATATCAAATACAGCTCAGAAATACATTTGCTAAATTTGGTCGAGATCGGTTCAGATATAGCTATAGCTCCCATATATACTGTTCATCCGATTTGTCATATTTCTTACCCACAGCCGTAATATGCACTCCGTAACAACGATATACAGGGAAATATATCAAATACAACTCAGAAATATCTTTGCCAAATTTTATCGATATCGGTTCCAATTTGGATGTAGCTCCCATATATATTTTTATCCGATTTCAAATTAATTGTGCACCAAACGGGCAATACAAGTCCGAATTAAAAAGATACAAATGCTTCGGCTTATTTAGTCCTTTGAACTTTAACTTATAATTATAATCATAGCGTGTATGATTGAATTCTCCCATAAAAACTTTTAATTGTTATGCGCAGCTCTACTAAATTAGCAAAGTGGTGTAGGGTATCATAAAGTCGGCCCCGGCCGACTTTAAGACTTTCTTTACTGTTTTTTTTAATTTGCCTCTGTGGCTTTTTATACCCTACACCACATAGTGGTAAGGGTATTATGTCTTAGTGCATTTGTCTGTAACAACGAGAAGGAAACGAGGTGGACCCATAGTTCCTTTTGGTGATCAGCATAGAATCACATTTGTAGTCGATTTATGCATGTCCGTCCGTCCGTCTGTCCATGTATTTCTGTTAACAAAATGCAGGTCGCATTTATGATTCGATTGATATGAAAATTTCCAAATAACATTTGTTTGGCTCAAGGACGAACCCTATTGAAATTGGCCCAAATGGCCTGAATTTTGGCATCTCCCATCGAATTAAAACTACAAGCATATACTTCAAATTTGGTGCAAATCGGTTCATACATAGCTGTAGCTCCCAAATATATGTTTCATCCGATGTAGTGTTTAAGTCCCTCACATTCGTAATATGGACTCCACAAGACTGATATGCAGCACCAGATATCAGATACAGCCTAGCAATACATGATTCAAATTTTATGAAGATCGGTTCAGATTTGTATAAAGCTCCCACATATATTCTCATCCGATTTTATGTTTTTTTGTGCACCAAATGGCTAATATCAGCCCAAATTGTTTGAATTTTGAAATTTCCAACCGAATTTAGTATAGAAATAACCAAATTTTCCATGTCTATTCCTTATTAAATATATATATTCATATATATATATATATATATATATAATATATATATATATATATCTATATATATATATATATATATATATATATATATATGTACATATATATATATATATATATATATTTTTTTTTTTTTTTTCCTTTTTTTTTTGAATTTTGAAATTTCCGACCGAATTTAGTATAGAAATAAGCACATTCAATTGGTGTAATCGGTGTAAATTTTCCATGCCTATGGTACCGCACATTTCACAGATATTACTTTATTGTTATTGAGTACTTCAATCCTTATATCTAATTCCTTATTATATATATACATATATATATAATATATATATATATATATATATATATATAGTATATATATATATATATATATATATATATATATATATATATATACATATATATATACATATATATATATATATATATATATATATATATATATATATATATATATATATATATATATTTATATATATATATATATATATTTACATATATACTAGCTGAAGCCGGTCCGCTCCGCTTTGATTATATATGCATTCAACATTTTATTTACGAATATTTATGGTTATGGTACCTTGATGGGATAAATATAAACAAGTTAAAAAACACTAAATTCGGCCGGGTCGACCTTTCAATACCCTCCACCATTTGGAACGAATTTGGAAATTTTCAATAAATAAAATCCCTAAAAATTCATTTAAATTTTTAAAAATACCGAAAAGAGCCGTTATATTGGGGTCTATACGACATGGACCTACATAGGCATTTTTGCCATAAGTCATTACCATATTAAACGGTGAATAATGTAGCTAAAATTATTAAAATATCGTATATAGGGAGGTACCGTTATATCGGAGCTGTGCGAAGACCTGGACCTGCATAGAAAATTTGCTCTCACTGGCTGTACAATCCAATTCGAACTTCAAATACGACATCCCACACAATTTCAATGGGTATTGTACCTAAACTCGTTAACATACCGAATATAGGGAGGTACTGATATATGGGGCCATCAAAATAACGTATATAGGGAGTTATCGTTATATCGGGGCTGTGCGAAGACCTAGATCTACATAGACAATTTGTTGTCACAGACTGTAGCATCCAATTCGAACTTTAAATACGACATCACAAAAAATTTCGGTGGGTATTGTACACAAACTTGTCAACATATCGAATATAGGGACGTACTGATATATGGGGCCTATACGAAGACCTTGACCTGCATAGACAATTTTCTGTCTTAGGCGGTAGTATCCATTACGAACTTCAAGTACTAAATTTCAAATAATTCCGGTGAATAATGTCGCTAAAATCATCAAAATACCGAATATCGGGAGGCACCGTTGTATGGGGGCTATACGGAGACGTGAACCTGCAACGACCATTTCTATCTTAGGATGTAGTATCGATTACGAACTTTAATTACCAAATATCGGGTGGTGCCGTTATATGAGGGCTAGCTGAAGCCGTGATCCTGAATAGACAATTTTTTTTCTTAGGCTGCAGTATCAATTACGAACTTCAAGTACTAAATTTTAAACAACTCCGATGAATAAAGTCGCTAAAACCATCAAAATACCGAATACAGGGAGGTACCATTATATGGGGGCTTTACCAAAACGTGGACCTTCATGGCCCATTTAAAATACCAAAAGTCCTGCAACATAATTTACATTTGAGTAAAATGTTATCAACCTACTTCATTTCGCTCGGAAGTTAGAGTTATTTCCACTGACGGACACGCATCGCTAAGTCGACATAGAATTTTATCCTGATCAAGAATATGTATACTTTGTGGGGCTTATGTATATATCGAGGTGTTACAAACGGAATGTCAAACTTAATATACCCTCCATACCATGGTGTAGAGTATAAAAATCCTAAAACAAAACTTGGGAGAAAATATTGAGTTTTAATCAGGTATGCAGTACATTAATAGAATATTTGATGGCATAACATAAAACTTTCAATTTCAATCAAAGCAAGTTTGCGGAAACACATTTTGAAAATTCGTATTAAACAGGAGAAAATTACATACCATTTTAATAATATGAAAGGGCTATGCAGAGGTATTGTATATATATTTATTTATATTACACAAAAAGTTCTCTGAAATTCCGAAAATCTGTTCCAAAAAGGGTCAAAAAGTACAAAGAAAAATTAAACATGTTACTATCCTCCAAAATCTATTAAAAAATGTGTAAAGCTTCGAAACATGTCAATCCCAATCAAATCGATCAAAATTTGGTATGCAGAGTTGTCTCAATATTTTTGAGTTTCAAATGTATGTATTTTAGATATAATAAAGCTAATTTTCTTTTTATTAATTGTTCGCGGAGAAATAAAAACACACAACCGGCCGGTTATAATGTATTTTCAAATCTGATTTTATTAAAGAATATTTCTTACTTAAGTGCTACCTAAACTATTCTGGCTTAACCTAATCGCAGACACACAATCTTTCTTATCTATTCTAAGGGCACGCTAGGAGGGATCTTGTGTTCCAACACTTAAGTGCATGCTACCTACTGAGCGCATATCTATCTGTATGTGTGGACTTTATTGATCCTTTATTATCAGTGCACACAAATAGATTTTATGGCCGCTTGGAATTTCTAATCGTTAAAAATAGATTACCATCTGCGCTGCCGCAGAGCTACAAGGCCGCTGAATTGCTTACATATGGTTTCTTTTTCTAATATTATTATGTTTAGACCGTTCAAAAATTAAGTCAAACGATCACAAGCGAATGTTTCTTAACCTTTTATCTATGTTCTCTGAACATTCTCCCGGGCGTCAAAATGCATGTTAAACATTTACAGGCCGTGGGAATTGTATTGCAGCTATTCTTCTGATTATCATTATTTTTCTTATTAATAAAATTATAGGTATTACTATAACCATAGATACTAAAATTAACGATGTATGCCCCGACATGTGGTGGAAATTCAGTCCTCTTAACTCAACGTTTTCGTTTCTTAATTTGTCCACACACTCCTTCAATTGATTGATTTCTTTATCATGATTAATCAGCAGATCTCCGATAGGTTTGATAGTTTCCTTATCAGCCTCGTTTACGTCCTTCAAAAGAAAGGAATGAAATTGTGATGTTACCTCATTCCGTACTCTATGAGCAGCTACCAACCTCACTTGACCGATACTCGCTGTACAATCCGCCTCCAACGAGAAAATCCCTTGCTGCGGAAGTTCCATTATCGTTTATTGCTTATGGGAACATTTCAGATGTGCAGTGTTATTTGAGAACGTCTTGAACAACCAATTTCCTTGCATTTGTAGTGGCATCCAATAAGGCATTCGTTCAGTTTCATCGTAAGCGCAGTTTATATTTATGTGAGGTCTAAAGGGCGCCAATTCGCATTGATTCGTTGACGCATCTCTCCAAGGAAAATTGCCTTCACACATGATTTCTTTACCCAGAGTTTCTTTGCACTCGTTCAGCATAGCCTGTGTCAAGAAATGAAAAGAATCGAGCTCAAAATTATAAACAATGTATGGTGCTTTAACCCGAGCTATCATCACCGTACCACCCTCTTTAAACGGTATGGGAATAACCCTGTAGAACTGGGATGATTGTCGATTGAATAGTGGTATTTTTATATCTATTACCAGCTGCGACCCCACAACTGTTCCATGACCCGTCATCAAATTTAGCACCTCTTTTAATTCCATTCCTGTGTGTTTACCAGGAAGTACATATTTTTCGGGTAGAGCATCCCGGTGGCATCATTCATGGTGGCGGTTATATACTCAATCTTCTTTTTTATCTCCGAGAAATGTGAATTGACTTCCTCGGTTGATCTTTTAAGGATATTGACAGTAGCATCAACTATGGACGTCTGCTTCTTTGCCAGTTCCTTTAATTCCTTTTGGTCGGCTAATAAATTCTCAATGTTATTCTCCATTGCTACTCGGTCATCATCGTCCATCACACCAAACGCCCAGTGTTGGAACGAACCCACAAATTTTAATGGAGTTCCTCTTTTCTGCCGCTTGTCTCCAAATCATTGGTGGTTGCTCCTTTACTCTTGGCCTACATCTTGTCATATTCATATATGCTGTTTCCGCCTGTGTGTTATCCTTATGCGTTACCTCTTCTTCTTTATCTTGATGTTCCAAAGGACATAACTTATTGACCGGCCTCTTCAACACACCATTTTGCGTTTTAAGGGTCACCACTCTTACTACTCCATCTTTTCCCGTATGGACTTCAATCACTCTCGCCAGAGGCCAATGCGCCGGGTGGGTCTCTTCGTATTACCACTTGGCCAATTTCTATATTTTTATCTCGCCTTTTCCGCTTCATACGGGCCTGTAGCGTATTTAAATATTCCTCCTTCTATTTTCTCCAAAAATGGTCTTTTATCCTTTGCAGCAGTTTCCACCTATTTGCGCATACTAGGCTTCCTTCTTCTATCCTTGCTGGTGCCTCTAATAAAGGGCGCCCAATAAGGAAATGGCCTGGTGTCAACGTGTCTATACAATCCGCACCACTGGCAAGCTCATGTAATGGCCTCGAATTCAAAACAGACTCAATCTGGGCTAGTACCGTGCTGAGCTCCTCATATGTCAGCTTCGTATCTCCCATTATACGTTTCAGATGGTACTTCATGGATTTTACAGCGCCTTCCCATATTCCTCCAATGTGAGGAGCTGCCGGCGGGATAATATGCCAGTTTATTTTTTGATTCTTCTTTTAGTTTATTTTGCCCCTTAGGTCTTTTTTTTTTTTGATATTTTGCCCCTTAGGTCTTTTTTTATTTTGCCCCTTAGGTCTTTTTTTTTAATATTGTGCCCCTTAGGTCTTTTTTATTTTGCCGCTTAGTTCTTTTTTTAAAATTGTGCCCCTTAGGTCTTTTTTGATATTTTGCCCCTTAGGTCTTTTTTTTTAAATTGTGCCCCTTAGGTCTTTTTTTGATATTTTGCCCCTTAGGTCTTTTTTTAAAATTGTGCCCCTTAGGTCTTTTTTGATATTTTGCCCCTTAGGCCTTTTTTCGATATTTTGCCCCTTAGGTCTTTTTTTGATATTTTGCCCCTTAGGTCTTTTTTTTTTTGTATTTTGCCCCTTAGGTCTTTTTTATAAATAGTCCCTTTGGCTATTTTAAAATGCCCCTATGGTCTTACATTTAAAATGCCTCAACGGACTTGTTTGTAGCAATTCTCCTCTTTTTTAAAGAAAAACTACTTTTTTGGTTTTTCTGAGTTTCTTACCACTGGTGGGGGATAACTCAAACCAATTTTATTTCAGGTCGCCGATTCTTCATTTTTCGAAGGACCAATGTTAGCGGAGAAATAAAAACACACAACCGGCCGGTTATAATGTATTTTCAAATCTGATTTTATTAAAGAATATTTCTTACTTAAGTGCTACCTAAACTATTCTGGCTTAACCTAATCGCAGACACACAATCTTTCTTATCTATTCTAAGGGCACGCTAGGAGGGATCTTGTGTTCCAACACTTAAGTGCATGCTACCTACTGAGCGCATATCTATCTGTATGTGTGGACTTTATTGATCCTTTATTATCAGTGCACACAAATAGATTTTATGGCCGCTTGGAATTTCTAATCGTTAAAAATAGATTACCATCTGCGCTGCCGCAGAGCTACAAGGCCGCTGAATTGCTTACATATGGTTTCTTTTTCTAATATTATTATGTTTAGACCGTTCAAAAATTAAGTCAAACGATCACAAGCGAATGTTTCTTAACCTTTTATCTATGTTCTCTGAACATTAATTATATTGGGATTTAAATGAATGCTTTCTATATTTACACCTCTGTTTAGTGATATATTTTCTACACCCATTATATTTCTTATATGGCGCAATGTTCATATTTTCTTACGACTCCTCGATTGTTTCCACTGATCTGAATATCGGAGATTCCTGACTCAACAAGTGTTTGCATTCTTGTACGGCATCCCGAAGGTATTTTAGTTTTGCAAAATCGATGGGCTTTTTCCCATAACTGTGGATTTAACTGCTGTTGACGAGATAGAAGAGGACCTGACTAAAACTTTAGTTAATAACCTAAAAATTTCATATAATTTAAATAGGGGGCCGAACTTTGAATACGCTTCATCATTTGGAACGAATTTGGAAATTAAAAACAAGTTCGGCCGGGCCGAACTTTGAATATACTCCACCATTTGAAACGAATTTGGAAATTTTCAGAAAATAAAATCATTAAAACATTCTGTTAAAATTTTAAAAATACCAACAATATCAAATATAGCTGTTATATTGAGGTGTATACGATGTGGGCCTACATAGACATTGTTTGTCATAAGCCATTACCATATTCAAATTCGAAACTTGAAATAAACGGTGAATAATGTTGCTAAAATCATCATAATATCGTATATAGGGAGTACCGTTATATCGGAGCTATGCGAAGACCTGGACCTGCATAGACAATTTTCCGTCACAGGCTGTAATCCATTTCGAACTTCAAATACTACACCTCAAACAATTTCGGTGAGTATTGCACCTAAAATCGTCAAAATACCGAATATAGGGATGTACTGATATATGGGGCCTATACGAAGACCTGAACCAGCATAGACTATTTTCTGTCTTAGGGTGTAGTATCCAATTCGAATTTCAAATACCAAATTTGAAACAATTCCTGTAAATAATGTCGCTAAAATATATGGGGGCTATATGAAAACGTGGACAAACATGGCCCATTTACGAACTTAACCTGCATACTGGAAAACTAAACATGTGTGCAAAATGTTAGCCATCTATCTCAATTCATTCGAAAGATAGCGTGATTACAACAGACAGACGGACAGACGGACATGGCTAAATCGTCTTAGAATTTTACGCTGATCAAGAATATATATACTTTGTTGGGTCTGACATGAGTATTTCGAGGAGTTATAAACGGAATGACAAAGTTATATAGTATTTCGGAGGGTATAAAAATGTGACAAAATGGATATGGTCGATGCATGTTTTGGCATAGTCCCCATATAACGTACCTCCCGAATAAGGGTTATTTGTCCAATTCTTGTCACATTTCTACACCAGATTGTAATGTTATTTTACATTTTACGTTCTAAGGAGCTACAAAATAATCTTACTGAAAATTATTTGGAACAGCCCGCCATTAGCTAGAGTCCCCTGTAAGGTACCTCCAAAAATAGAAGTTTTTTTATACAAATCAAGTCCAAATTTGATTATTTTTTGTAAAAAAAAAAAATAAAGTAACAATTTAATGTAAAATTAAATCAAAGTTAAATTTTGCACAAATAATTAGTTTGACTTAAGGACGAATGTGATTGAAATTGGATATAACCGGTCAAAATTTAGGTATATCTCCCATTATATTCATTCAGTTTGTCTTATATTGTGCACCAAACTTGTAATAACTGCCCAAAAAGTATAGAATATACGTACGAACAGATTGGACCTGAAAATAAGTATGCCAAATTTGATCGAAATCGGTTCAGACACATATATAGCTCCCATATATATTGTTCATCCGATTTGTTATTTTTGTCCTCCACAGCCGTAATATGCACTCTGTAACAACGATATTTGGGGAAATATATCAAATATAACTTAGAAATACCCTTTCTAAATTTTATCGAGATCTGTTAATATTTGGATATGGCTCAATTATATATCTTCGACCGATTTGCCGTTTATTGTGCACCAAACGTGTAATATTAGCCCAAATAAAATTTAGATATAGCTCTCATATATATCTATCCGATTTCAAGTTAATTGTGCACCAAATGGATAATACAAGCCCGAATTGAAAAGGCGCAAATGCCTCGACAAATTTAATAGAAATCGATTCAGAGGAGGATATTCCTCCCATATATTAATTCCTTTGGACTTTTAATTATTACTATAATCATAGTTGGTATGATTTAATTCTCACAAATTCCCCATTAAAACCTTTATTTGTTATGTGACGCTCTACAAAATATGCAAAGTGGTGTAGGGTATCATGAAGTCGGCCACGCCCGACTTTAAGACTTTCTTTACTGGTTATTTTTTGGTAACGTTCGCTGCCCCTTTATAAAAGGGTCAGAGCTCAGAAGAAGACGGTTAATAAGATCTGTGGTTGTTAAAACACGAGAATTTTTTCGGGTATGATTTAGTCGAAACATGGAAGATAGTGCCATGGATATAAATTTGTTAACTCTTTAGCAGTTTCCAGTGCAAAGGCCTTAATTGACACCTGTCAATTACATCTTTGTCAATCCCTAACAATAAAAACATATTCCATATCACTAGCACCATAGAACTGACAAAATTGCAGCGAAGTCACTTCAGTATATTGGGCATAACGTACACATCTGACAAAATCTGAAAGTTAAATTAGCACTTTTAGAATCTTAGGACCATTACTAATGGCGTGAAAAAATCACATTGGAGGAGTCAGGGGGGAAAACAATTAAAACTTTAACTGAAATCCAATTTTATTTTCAAAATTAATCTTAAAGGCAACTCAGAACACTCACATCTTCTATATAATACACACATACTAAACACACAAATTACTGTACTAAAAATAAGTTAATACCTTGCTTTTCAATAATAATTTGTAATTTGCTTTTCAATAAAGATTTGTAATTTTAAAATGTATTTAATTTTGTAATACAGTTCTATTTTTACTCCACATTTTCTTTGATCCCACTGAAAAAACAACTAACTACATTTTCTCTATTTTGATGCCATTTTTGAAGTGGGCCCTTAGAATGAAGCCAAGATTATTATGTTTTCTAAAAAGCTTAACCGCTTAAGAGTTCATTTGTACACATTTGACAATAAATATCTGATTTTCATTTTTTGAATTTTGGCCAATGGCAGCGACCACTATGCACCGGTGGGGGATAACTCAAAAAATTTAATTTTATTTTAGGTCATTGATTCCTTAATTTTCGATGGACCAATGTAAATGAGAATAGAATCCAATCTCCTTCTTGGATTGCCAACTCTATTTGACTCGACTGGAGCAATGTTTAGTAAGAAAGGAATACAACCTCTTCGCTTGTTTGTAGATTCAAATCTCGATCGATAAAAAGCCACAGAGGCAAACTAAAAAAAAAAATACAATATATATTGTAACAAGTAAAAAAGCTGTAAGTTCGGCCGGGCTGAACTATGAATACCCTCTACCATTTGAAACGAATTTGGCAATTCTCAAAAACAATAAAATCCGTTAAAAATTCTGTTAAAATCTTAGAAATACCGAATGTAGCCTTATATTAGGGCCAATACGACGACATGGACCTGCATATGTAACGTTTGCCATACAATATTCAAATGCGAAACTTAGAATAAGTTAAAAAACAGTTAAATCTGCTAGGCCGAACTTTGAAAAAATCCGTTAAAATTTTAAAAATACCGAATATAGCCGTTATATTGGGGTCTATACGACGTGGACCTACATAGGCTTTGTTTGTCATAAGCCATTGCTATATTCAAATTAGAAACTTCAAATAAAAGGTGAATAATTTAGCGTAAATCATCAAAATACCGTATATATAGAGGTACCGGTTTATCGGAGCGACACAAAGACCTGGACCTGCATAGACAAATTTCTGTCCCAGGCTGTAGCACTCTTTACGAAGTTCAAATACGACATCTCAAACAATTTCGTTGAATATTATACCTAAAATTGTAAAAATACCGAATATAGGGAGGTACTGATTTTTGGGCCTATACGAAGACCTGGACCTACATAGACAATTTTCTGTCACCTAAAATCGTCAAAATACCGAATATAGGGAGGTACTGATTTTTGGGCCTATACAAAGACCTGGACCTACGTAGACCATTTTCTGTCATGAAAACAATTCCGGTGAAAAATGTCGCTAAAATCATCAAAATACCGAATATCGTGAAGCACCTTTATATGGGGGCTATACGAACACGTGGACCTGTACAGACAATTTCCCACCATAAGCTATAGTACCCACTACGAACTTTAAATACAAAAATTGAAACGATTCCGGTTAATAATGTCGCTAAAATCATAAAAAT